AGCGGTTCTCAAATTCTCTGATTCCAGGACCCTTTTACACGCTTAAAAATTGATGACCTAAAGTAACTGTTGATTATGTTGGTTTAACTATCAATATTTATATACATATTAATAGTTAAACTGGTTAAATTTTAAAACACAAGAATACACCAGCACACATGCCATAGGCCAGCAAAGCAATGATGTCATTACATATCATGAACCTTCTAGAAAACTCTACTGTACCTTTGTTCAAGTATGAGATTGAAAGGTAAAATGCATCTTAGCATTATTATGAAAATGTTTTCTTCTAATAGATCCTCTGAAAGGGTCTCAAAGAACCACAGATTTCCCCAGAATACACCTTGAAAAGAGAGGATTGTCTGCTCTACAAAATAACTGACATAGAAGTCTACCAGATAGCAGTATTCAGTTGATTGATTTAATTTTCTATCCCAGAGATAATGTTCACAATAATTAGGACTACCACCAACAGTATTCCATTTAAGTTCTTGAATAATATGGATCAAATGTTAACAGTTTCTAATATGTATATGTAATCACTCTTATGAAGAAATTCATTAACATTAAACTAAATTCTTGTCTTAAGTGTCAATAAGACATTAGTAAGACATAAATTATTAAGATCTATAGAATCTGTTATGATCAAATACAGGAAGAACTCTCCCCTTTCATCCACTCCTTAAAACAAATGGAGAATTTCAATGAATTCAGAGTAGGACAGCTAATTTTTTATATATATTTTGTATTTGTGAGTGCATGAGCACACTTAACAATTCTAAGAAAAATATTACACCTGGTTACTTTATACAGTAGAAGAGTTAATTTTATTGGGCCACATAGACACTCAGACCAGGGTAATGACATTAAAAGATTTGGGGAAAACTATACATCTTTGGGCTCACAGATGCTATTTACAGGCATGCTCACACTACTCTCTCAAAGTGACCAATAAACATCAATATCAAAATCACAACCAATGAAAAATCTGGATTTTTCTCCTCACTGATCAACAACTCCCTAATAACACACACAGACACACACACATACTCTCACACACACACACACACACACACACACACACATACTCACACACACACACAGTCAAGAAAGGAAAAATGTCAGGAGGCCCTTACTCATATTTGAATGTTTTAGTTTATATTTTACTATAAAATTGGGTATTCTATAAGGGAATTCATTTGCATAAAACAAAAAGACATAAATGTAATAGTAATCTAAGCATAAATATGTCCTTGAAGGCAAACAAATGCTAAATTACAATACAGCCTCTGTCTTTAGGGTTCCTCCCTATGTGAGCAACTGCATATTTTGAATGTAATGCAAATCTAAGAAATCAAAGGGAAAATAGTCATTTGCAAAACTTAAGGAAAGATCATCTCCCTCTAATTCCAACTGCTCTAGCCGTTCACACCATGCTAAATTAAGGCTGTATAACATCTCTCAAAATCACTTTGTTTTTAAATACACAATCAGTTTTCCTTGCTGATTTCTGGGCAAAACTGCCCCGCTTCTAATAGTAACTGTCACTCCTACTTGGCAGCTCTTTTCAAAGAGAGTTTCATCCAGCAGTTGAAGCAGCCTAAATGAAATCTGAAAAACAATTCAGTTTAGCATTATATTATTTGACTGACTTCAATTCTTTTGATTTGATAAACTTTTTTTTTAATCTTCTATTTAGGATTACCTTGGCTATAACTCACCAAGGAATCTAAAGGACAACAAGTCCATAAAAATTTTGCCTTTCCTAACTACTAGAAACAATGTCAGGCACAGTAGCCGGAGCCAGTAAGTCTCATACCCACTATTATTCCCCATGGAAAGAAATGTTTAAATCTCCAAAATGCAAGAAGATTATCATTAAGAAAATCATTTCTAAAATACCTTCCATTCATATTTTCATGGAGGGCTCTCAATCTGAAGGATAATCACACCAAGCAACTTAAAATGAGACATCAAAAGCATTTACCCATCAAGCAAATCACATGCTTCAGGCCAGGGATGCCCGGAGCAACCTAACATATCTATCTAAAAAATGTGAATAGTTCACATAAACCTTTATACTAATCATTCCTCCTACCCTGAGTTTATAGAAATAGTCTAGTCAACCATAGACACCAATGAAGCAGGTTATTGAATATTTAGTTATGAAGAAGTGCTAGGGAATGGCATTCAGGCACTTCTGACACATTCACCTTCAGCTAAAGACAGCACACAATACACTGACAGACACAGTTCTAATGACATCAGGACCTGTGGAATGTATGACTGCTAAGAAACACATGCTGCTAGGAAACAAAGAACAGATCTGATCAAATCTCCTAACATAAGGGCTCCGAAAAACACTGTGATTAGATCTTCTAAAATGAGAGGACAAGTATTCTTTAATCTTAAGAAATATTTGCAAGTGCAAAGGCTTTAACACATACCCTCTAGGAAGGAAAGAAATATATGAAGCTAGAATCTCATGGATGAAATCACAATTCCCTAAGTTTGCATTAAGACAACTGCCACCAGCACTACCCCATAAAAATATAACTTAATCAAGATCAGGCATCACTGATTCAGTATTCCTTTTTGGCGGGGGGAGGGGGGCAACCTAAGCTTTTTCAAGAAGTCAAGATTCTAAAATTGAAAGAAATGTGGAAATCATGGTACCCAGAAAAAAAGTACCCTTTCACATTTTCAGTGCTATACTTTTTTCAACAAAATAGAACATAGCCATTTGCAACAAACACAAAAGCAGTCAGAGCTAATCTACAACTAAGCAATTTAATGTCTTTTTAATAACTGAAAAGTGTTGAGCTTTCCAACTTTTTAAAACTGTTTGTCTTTGTACATTTTTAACCCTTGGACACACACACACCAAAAAAAAAGATTGGGTGAAACAAAGGTGAAGATATTTCAATGCAAGTATTCTTTTAACTCCTAGACAAACGTCTGGAAACCTCTTTTGATGATACTATAAAAGAACTGACAATTCTGTCTAATCCACATACAGACAAATTGGGCACCAGAACTCCAGGTCATTTAGTACCATTACAGATTGAAAAATATACCAAGGAAATCTAGCTAAATTCTGTTTAATCTCACAGGGAAATAAAGTACATTCTCCAAATGAAAAATTACTGAAGAACTATTTCTTTGTAGATTCTGCAATGACATTCTTTAACTAGTGTTGATAACCTATATGACCCTAAATTAGCAGATTGCCTATTTACTTCAGAGCAAAACACAGAAGGCAATTTTTCCTGCCTGCCAGAGTCTATGCGTCTCCTCGTTTCCCCAGCAGCTGGCTGGAAGGATGTAAAATCAGAGGGGCAAGAAGGCTTATACTTCCTAATGAGTAATCTACCCAGGAAAGTAAACACAAGACACCACCAGGTTGGGCTCTAAAGGAGACTGTGGCAGGGCTGCTTACACCGTTGTTTACAATGTACTCTACCGCAGGCAAGATCACACACAGGCACAGGGAGGAGATACCCAGAGGTGGCTCGTACACCTCGAGTTCGCCCAATTGCTGTGATTCCTCTGGCCATAAATAAAACAGCGCACGTTCGTATCTGAAAGTGGCCAGAGAATTCCGGGGACCAGGGGTTATGCTGGCTTGACTTGGTTATTTCAATCTGCCCGAAAGACGACTATTCTATTCCTTGGTCCTCATCAGGGCCAAACTGGGGGTGCCCTGCGCGCTGCACCAGAGACTCTCAGGCGCTGCACGCATCTCTCAGAGGTGCTCAGTAGGGGAGAAGGGACACAGTGAGGCTTCTTCGCAACCCCTATCGGCCCTCGCGGCCTCCTCAAACCAGATTTTCCAGTTAAGCGGATCCCAGGCGATTTCGATAAGCAAGCTCAGCTCAAGTAGCATCAGCTCTGCCATCCCCGCAAATATCGCCAGGCCATCCCCGGAGCGCACGAACGCGCACACAGATAGGCACACGCCGACCCTGCTACCAATTAACCCTGGTAGCGGAGGTTCCCCCCACCCCACTCCACATACACACCCACCCACCTATATTGCTAGGGGCCTGGCACGTTTAGCCCTTGAGCTCCGATGTGGGACCATCGGCGGGGGCGCGGCGGCACCGACGCTCCGCTGCAGCCCAAAGCCTTCCCTTCACTGGTGAGAAGATGCGGGGCACCTGCCCTCCTACCTGTAACCCAGCCGACCGCCGCCACCAATGCTCTGCCCACCCCGCCCCGGCGCCCCGGCCACCCCGATTCGTGCAACACCGCCCCCCCGCCCCGTGCCCACTCCCAACACCGTGCCGCCCCGGGCCACCCACGAAAGTGGCAGCTTTCTCCAGCCAAAAGCGCTTAACAAAGGCCAAACAAGCAGGTCTAAACCAACTGCCGTGAAAGGGACACAACGGGCGGGGTGCGGGGAAGTAGCGAGGCTCCGCGACTCAGGGGCGCGACCTGGGCAAACGCGGCCACCATGGATGCTCCAGGCAAGCGTCTAGAGAAGATCGCGGCGGACTCACCGCCCCGCAGTCCCCATCACCCCTGAGCCCAGCGCCTCACCCGGTCCCTGTCGGTCCTCCAGCCCTCTCCCGCCTCCAGCGGCACCGGCTCCGGGCCGGTAGAGAGAAGGCGCCCCCTGGTCGGCATTCAGTTCCTACCAGGGGATGACACTGGGGTGAGAGGGGAGGGAAAATTCCCAGGGTGGAAACCGTTCCTATCCCCCAGAGTGTTGAACTGCGAATGCTCCCGGTCAACTCTCCCTTTCATTTCTCTCAACCGCCAAATCGCCCAATAGCTGGAAAAACCTCGAACCCGTACCAACCCCCAGCGCCCACCAGCCATGAGGTTCCCTTCCCGCCCCGCATCACGATCGGATGAGTTTGTGTGCGGGCGAGTGTGTGAGTGGGAGGGTGAGTGTGCGTGAATCCTGCACCCCCTCAGTTGCCTGCCCCGCGGACGCAGATGCCTGCGCCGGGCCAGGGCCACCACTATCAGGAAGTGTGAGAAGAATAAATTACCTTTCGTAACCGCCGGTCCCTGAGATCGTCCCATCAGTTGGTCAACAACCTGCAGCCCGGTGCAGTTTCCACAATCCAGCCATGGAGCTCGGGGCAAAAGACCGAGCGGCCCCAGCGAAGACACCCCCACCGCACGCGTCCAAGAATGATAGCCAAAGCGCAGAGAAGGCAGCAGGAGGGTAGAGACCCCAGCCAAGGAAACAACAAAAAGTCTTTCCTTCCCCCTTTTTTCTGCTACACAGCCATGAAGAAAAGGGAAGGGGGGGAAGCAAAATCCAAATGTTTGTCTTCCTTTACGTTTCCTCTCTTCACACACACCAAGGGGGTAAAAACGGAGCAAAGGGGGTGGAGGGTTCAAATGTCTCTTCCAGTCCACAGTTGCACAACTTCGGAGTCAGGCTCTGTCTCCAGCAGCAGCCGAGGGACCCAAGCGGCAGCTATTAACATGCGGCAGTCATAGCTGGGGCTGCTTTTCCTCCCGCTGCCGCTGCCGCTTAAGAAAAGACGCTTCTGGAGAGACCAAAAATGTTCCACCATCCCCCCAGCCGATCTTTATATCCAGTTCTCCCACCCCACCCCCTTTCTTTTTCTTTTTCTTCCTCGTCCTCCCCTTTCCGGCTGAATGCGGGAGCGAGGGAAAAGGTAGGGGGAGCCGCGAGGGCCAGGGGTGGCTTCTTCTCCGCCAAACCCTCCTCCTCCTCCTCCCGAGGTTGTCTCCCCGCCGAGGGTCTCCTCTCGAGTCCGCAACCTGCGCAGAGAGCTGGAGCCAGGGCCACACAAACTCCTTCCCGGGTGCACAGCGGGGACGCGCGGGCGGAGCGGGCGCCGGGCAGCCGAGGGCTGCGTCCCGGGGGCCGCGGAGCCCAGAGCCCGGAGTGTGGCTGATTAGCTCGCCGGCCGGGCCGGGCAGCTGCGAGCATGTGGGAGCTTCATCGCGCGGCCCCGGGCTTCGCGCCGCCGCCGCCTCGTCGGTCCTGTATCTTCTTCGACTCCCCGAGAGCGAGCAGGGCTCTGGCGCTCTCCAGACACGCACACTCACACACGCGCACACGCGAGCGAGCTCCGGCCAAAGCCAACCGTGCCACCGGCGCGCGCGCACACCCGGAGAAAGAGGACGGAGGCTAAAAGAGAAGAAAGAAAGGGGAGGGGGCGAGTCACAGGCGGCAGCAGCGGCAGCAGCGGCAGCTGCGGGAGCGGAGGCAACGACCAGTACGGGAAAAGCCGGTAGCGGCAGCGGCGGCGCCCACCAGGACGAGCGGCAGCATCTGCATCCCAGCTCCTGGGAACTGGGGCGAGCAGTGCCGGGCGAGCAGACGACCCGGCGACGCGCCGAGAGCCGGTCGGAGCGCGGGCGCGCCGGGGCCGTGCAGCCTGCGTGCGGCGGACGCAGCCGGGGCCCGAGCCGAGGCCAGAATGAGCCGCGGGCGGGCGAGCTCCGAGAGCGCCGAAAGCCGAGGAGGGGGCTTGCGCCGGAGAAAGGGGTGGCGGGAGGCAAAACCCGGATCTGGAGTGCGCTCGGGCTCCGCCGCGCGGGCTCCACCTAGCAGCTCGACAAACGCTTGGAGGTGGGAACGAGAGAGCTGCTACAAGAGGCTTTCCTTTCAGGGTTTGTCAAACAAAGGGTACCTCTCCTCGCGGCTTTGAGACAAGCTTCTCTCTCTCTCTCTGGCTCTCTCTCTCCCCCCCCCCCCCCCCCTTAGCCTTCCCTCTTCCCTCTCCCCTCTCTCTCTCTTTCTTTCCCCCCTCCCTCTCTCCCCTCTTCTCTTCCTCCTTCATTCCACACCAGGTGAGTAAACGACGTCTGAAAGTACTGCCAGTGTCTCTTTTTACAGGTACAGATTATTCCATATTTTCATTATGCAGGTACCGAGTCCCAGTGCGTTTTCTGCCTTTGGTCCATTTTATGTTCCTTCAAACTTACCTCAGCGTGCAAGTTCATTGCAGCCGTTAAAGTGCCTTCTGATAATCGGATGTGGGGATTCAGTGACTTTATTTCACATCGATAAAAATTACCATAATGGATACAGAAAGGTGCCGATTCCAAAGCAATGCCTTGTGATAGAGGAAAAGTCTGTTCAAGTTAACTGAGTGACCTTGGTCAATTACTGAACCCCTTTCTGCCTTCTTTGTAAATGAGAGGGTTAAGTAGGTAATTTCTAAGGTCTTGTCCTGCTCTAAAATTTCATAATCTGAAATGGCTAAGGTGTTATTTTCTATATCAATACATTCGGGTTACCATTACAGGAGAAACTAAGATTTATTATATGCATCCAACAAGCACATTATATCCAAATTATATTTGAATGTATATAATATATTCAGAATGATCTAATGCTCTCCCAGTTCTTAGGGAGGTAGAGTCAACATATGAAGAACATAAAACCTCATTCGAATTAACAGACCATACCCAGTACCAGTGACTATCAAAATCTCATTCAGTCTGCAAAGCTCAATTCCAGTACCAACTGCTCCAAAGATCCTTTTCTCACCAACCCCATTCAAAATAATCACCCCTTCCATTATATTCCCTTTGATTGTATCTCTACAGAACACCTATTTCATTCTGCTTTTTTCTTGTTCTTTTAAAATTATTAGTTGCTTGTCTCTATGCCTCTTCGCATTATAGGATCTTCCTGGAATCTAAATTACAAATTTTAATCATCTGTATAACATAAGATTAATCTGTATCCACAATATTTTGCACGTTATAATTCTTCTTATTTTTAAAAAAAATGGGAAAGAGATTTAATGATATTGCTGAATTCTGACCAACTAAATGTTCACAGGCTCAAGTTAGGCTACTTGAATTTGCCTATTATGGGGCATCTATGAATTCCCCTGAGTACTTAAACAAAATATGAACTGACATCTGGAGTCACTTGTTACTTAAATAATTTTGGAAAGAGTAGACTCCAGCCAATTGTGACAAGAGGCTCTTATTTGTAAAGGAGACAATATGGAAACTACTCAATTCATCTCCCAAATGTATATATGTAGAAAAGTAATAAAATAATAGAATATAGAATGAAAGGTGCTATATAGATATTAAATGTTATTAGTGGTAGCAGCAGAAATATAAATAAACAGCACCTATAGACCAATTTTTAGAATCAGACTTATCACAATATGGCAGGTCTGGTAGGATATGTGAAAGGAATAAAATTTCAATATATAATTAATATATTTATCAAAACATGAAAGATATTAACTGAAAAGTAAGCATATTGAGTTAAATAAATAATTAAAAGTATTCACCACAGAGGAGTTGACTACAAATAAGCAAAATTACAAGCAGAATAATGAGGGAGAAAGAACCAAAAAGGAAAAAAAAAAAGTGAATAAAAATAACTGATGGTTAAATAAAAGCAGTGGAAAGAAAAGAATAGGTTTATACAACTTAATCAAATGTCAAGGTAACAATTTTTACAGCAACTACCTGTATTTTAGGTTCAAACTTCATGCTTCTACATCATTTTTAATCTGATGGGCATAGTCTTCTCTATTTGATTTAAGATACAAAGTGTCAATACTCCATTGCCAGGAAATCCATGACTCTTGCCAATATTTTTCTAAGGTGAACCTTCCACAAAAATACACTCAAATAAAATACTGTGCCCTCTTTGCTACCCAACTATATTGAACACCTTCTACTCAGTGACAAGATAGTATAGCAGATGATGTTTGAGCAAAGATGCTATTATACGTGGTAGCTCTGTGTGCTAGAGTGGTTTTTAAAAAAGATCACACTGTCAACTTCAACTCCATTAAAAGTGAAAAAAATCAATATTTGTAAAATGGAAAAGAACCCCTCCCCCAATTTTTTAAAAAAGCTGAGTAGCCAATCAAATAAGATAACCACAATTAAAATGTTTTAATAATTTTAAAAATTTCCTGACCAAAGGGTTTTTCAAATTAATAATTAATATACTAAAATCTCCAATACATGTAAGTTAGGAAAAGAACATGGATAACATGTTCACAAAAAAAATTCAAATGGCCAATAAACGAAAGGAAAAATGTTCTGCCAATATAAATCCAATACATAAAAATATATAAAATTAACTATAATTTTATAATTAAATAAAAAATATATAAAATTACCAGATCCATCATGTTTCATGTTTCACTCATGAAATTAGCTGAAAACTAGCAGTCCCCTACTAATAAACTCTAACAAAAGTGTACTGAGACAGGCCTGCCTCTATGCTAGTGATGTACACTGACACAATTTTTCTGGAAAGAAAGCTGAAATTATGTCAACTGCCTTATAGAATATATATGTCATTAATCCACAGTTTCTATTTACAGATATCACTTCTACAGAAATAAACAGAGGTATGGACAAGGACTTTGTATAGTGATACACACCTCAGTTGTAATCGTTATATAAGGGAAGTAAGTGTGTAAGATATCTTGTTTTTGCATACTCAGTAAATGCCCTTACCTGATTGGAATTGGTAGTTATTCAGTTAGTGGGGGGAAAAGTTGGTTAAAGCAAACAAAATTTTTTTGAATGATCTGTATATTCTATATTAGTTAGAATTCATTTTGGCTGCGAGCAACAGAAACACAAAGCAACAGTAAACAAGATAAAAGTTTCTTTCTTTCTCAGGTTAAAGTGTAGCAGTTAGTGATCCTGGGCTCTTGTGGCCCTAACAAAGCATTCCAGCCTGAAACAGACAACTTCCTTAACTTCTTGCTCAGCCACGCATGGCCATTATTCCCAATTCCAGTTCTAGCAATCATGCCTACGTTGCAGGAGCAGAGAAGAAAAGGAGGAAAAGAAAGGCATACTCACACCCAGACATTTTCCTAAAGTTTCACGCACCATTTGCCTATTCATTTAATCCTCAGAAATGGTGAGCTGGTAACACTTAGCTACAAGGATAACAAGAAATGTTGACTATTCCAGGCAGTCATGAGTCCAACTGAAAATCAGGATTCTTTCATGATTTAATCCTTCCTCAGCCTGCGACATGACATTGTGCACCACCCTGGGCTGAGCTTTGCATACTTTAGGTTTTCAGTAACTAAATGAATCCCTACTGCAGACAGTAGACAATGCCACCTTCAATGTAATGACCTTCTATTTCAACCAGACGTAAACTTTCAGAAAATTACTGAGTTTTTGTCGTTGGGAAAAATACTCCCTAATAATCAATTATCAGCAGTTACAATCTTAAATGCTACTGGGCCTAGATACACTGACAAATCAAGGTAATCAGGGGTAAATCACACCTGCAAAGCAGGCAGCAAAGCTTAATACTCAGATTCCTAGTATGCCATGGTATGGTTAGAATTCCAAGGGGTCTTGGGTTCATTAGAATAATGACTCAAGTGTAGATTTTATATATATATATATGATCAGAACATATTTGACTGACTAAGGGATAGTTTAATTCGAAGAAGTACCAAGTGATGCTCTCTAATCCTTGGGATGTACATCAAAGGGCCTATTTTAAAAGATTGTAAAATCTTACCCAGGTTATATATCCCTGCTGAT